CTCTCTCTCTCCCCATCCCTCTCTCCATTTATCTCTCTCTCTCTCTCCATCCCTCTCTCCATTTATCTCTCTCTCTCTCCCCATCCCTCTCTCCATTTATCTCTCTCTCTCTGTATCTTCGCCCTCTGCCTCTTTCCTTTTCCATCTCTCGCCCTGTATCTTTCTCTATCTCTCTCTCTCTCTCTCTGTCTCCATTTCCCTCTGTCCCATCTCCCCCAGTACTCCCATGCCCCAGTCACTCCCTATCACTGGTCACTCCCTCTGCCTGCTCACTCCCTCACCCCCAGTCACTCCTCACCCCCAGTCACTCCCTCTTCCCCGGTCACTCCCTATCACTGCTCACTCCCTGTCCCTGCTCACTCCCTCTCCCTGGTCACTCCCTCTCCCTGGTCACTCCCTCTCCCCCTGCTCACTCCCTCTCCCCCTGCTCACCCCCTCATCCTGGTCATTCCCTCCCCCGCCCCGGTCACTCCCTCTCGGCTGGTTACTCCCTCACCCCCGGTCACTCCCTCCACATCATCATTCCCTCTTCCCCGGTCACTCCCTCTTTCCCAGTTACTCCCTCTTCCCTGGTCACTCCCTCTCCCCCCCTCACTCCCTCTCCCCGGGCCCCCCCCTCCCCCCCCGGTCACTCCCTCCACCCCATCATTCCCTCTCCCCCAGTCACTCCCGCTCCCTGGTCACTCCCTCTCCCCCTGCTCAATCCCTCTCCCCCTGCTCACTCCCTCTCCCTGCTCAATCCCTCTTCCTGGTCATTCCCTCCCCCACCCCGGTCACTCCCTCTCGGCTGGTTACTCCCTCTCTGCCCCGGTCACTTCGTCTTTGTGTGCCTCCATGAACTGACCTGCCTCTTGGGCCTGCTCAGTACGAACCCTAGACTTGGCTGGAGAAGCAGGAACAGGAGCAGATTCCGAGCGATGGTCTGGGTCGGGGACATCTGCATGGGGAAAGATACATTAGTGACTCCTTACTGTTCCAGAAACTAGCCGACAGTGTAACTCCCGTCCAATTGCGGGGTCCCTTCTGGCCACCCCCAGTGACTTACATTTTGTTTCCACCAACCTCGTCGATCCCACTTTTGCCAGCTCTGAAGATACGAAAGATCCCAGATTTTTTTTTCCCCAGGAGAGAGCCTCCTTGACAGTCCCTGCAGAGGGAGCACCATCTGGAGATCCTATCCTGACAACATCCCACTAAGCTCCGTGCGAAGCCCCGGGCCAAGTGAGGCTTAGGGCTCGCCCACGATGCCTACTGTAGCCGAACAGCCTGGCATTAACTGTCAGGAACTGCACAGTGGCAGCGGAATCTCACTCCCACCAATACCTTGAGGACAGGAGTAGGGCCCATTGAGGGAGTGAAAGGTAAATGCCCAGAAAGGCATAACAGGGTCAATCTGTCCATCGCATCTGTACTAGGCCTTTTATAAGGACGGTCTCAGGAATGAGGAACTTTAGTGATGAGGACAGATTGAAGACATTGCGAGGGCTCTCACTGGGGAGAAAGAGGCTGCGAGAGAGATCCGATAGAGATTCTCAAAATTACAGACGGAGCAGTGAGGGGTTGACTGTTCCTGCTTGTACAAGGAGGGGTATGAATTTAAAGAGATGCACAAACAAAGCAAGGGTGATGTGAGAGGAGAAAAAAGAACCATCTGAGGGTCTGGAATTCACTGCTCGGAAATGTGGTGGGGTGGGCAGGTTCATTTGAGGCTTTCAATAGGACGGTTATTTGATGGGCAGTGATGGAGGGGGGAAGGCGAGAGATTGGCTCAAGGGAACAGACGCAGTGCGAGCACGATGGGCCGAATGGCCTCCTTCAGTGCCAGAGCAGTTCCGTGATTCTGAGACAGAGTTGCCAACACATCCCCCCTCCCCGCTCTTTCCAAACAAAATACGTCTCCAATCTCCCGTTTCGGAAAGCTCCTGCTCCCGCCGGGATTTCAGGTACCACGTTCCCGATCACAACTGTTCGCTATGTCAATGCACATGGAAAGAAACAAATTCTCACCTCTCCCTTTTGGATTCGTTTATAAAATATTGTTCCGATTACTGCTCCTCCAGCCACTGGAAACATTTTGCATTCATTAATTTCCCTCAACCAAAACCCCCCCTGGAATTTCGACAGCGATTCAATCTCATAGGGGCCCTTCAGCCCATTGTGTTTTCTATCCTAGTCACATTTTCCAGCACTTAGCCTGTAGTTTTGCATACTAAGGCCTTATGGCTGTGCATCTGAATGTTTCTTAAGTATTTTGGGTGGTGGAGTCCCTACCTCCACTACTGTTTTAGACACTGAGTTCCAAATACCCACCAGCTGCTGCGAAAAAACTTTCTTCCTCTGTGCCCCCTGGTCAGCTCCTTCAATTCTGTCTCTGTCTGTGGGTGGCTCAGTGGTTAGCACTGCTGCCTCATGGCGCCAGGGACTCGGGCTCTATCCCACCTTCGGGCAACTGTCTGCATGGGGTTTGTACATTCTCCCCGTGTCAGCGTGGGTTTCCTCCGGGTGCTCCGGTTTCCTCCCACAGTCCAAAGATGTGCAGGTTAGGGTGGATTGGCCGTGCTAAGTTGTCCCATAGTGCCCAGGGATGTGCGGGTTAGGGTGGATTGGCCGTGCTCAATTGTCCCATAGTGCCCAGGGATGTGCGGGTTAGGGTGGATTGGCCATGCTGAATTGTCCCGTAGTGTCCAGGGATGTGCAGGTTAGGGTGGATTGGCTGTGCTAAATTGTTCTGTAGTGTCCATGGATGTGCAGGTTAGGGTGGATCGGCTGTGGGTTACAGGGATGAGGTAGGAGATGGGATGCTCCTCTTTGGAGCTCAATGGGCTGAATGGCCTGCTTCCATACTGTAGGGATTCCATGATCTGACGGGGATTGGGGACCCAATAAACTCTGGCCGAAGAAAAACCGTAAACAAAAAATATGCATTGCTGGTACATCGGAATAAATCAAATTAATATACAATTCAATCAGTTCTTCCCAAATTCCTGTGGAAAGGCGCAAACATTAATAATCTCACCTTTAGCAGCTCGGTCAACACTGGGGTTAGTTTGCAAGTGCTCTTCCTCCCTCGTTGCAATTGAATTTCAGACACTCTGCTGTTAGCTCCCTTTTTTCTGAGGAGGTTTTATAACAGTTGACCTGGGCGGGTTATTTATTAAAAAAAATCCTTTTCTATGAAGTCACGCAAAAAGGTTTGACCTGGGTTCAAGCTGAAGACTTTTTTTTGGTTTTTCATTTAATTTTTGTTATTTTTCTTCGTTTAATCTCAGTGCGAAATCAGCAAAACCAAAATAATAAGGCATTAAACATGTATCCCTCCCAAAAGTGCCAGACAAAAAGACGAGAGCTCCTGTCTCTTCTCCCCACGCCCTGGTTGGATTCTGGCCTGGCCTGACCTAGGTCAATCGGTCAACTTGAAGGAGATTTCTCATTTTCTTTTCATGTTAAGGGGTTCGATTGTTGATCAATTCTGATGTAGCCCACTTCCCTCAGTCTCACGGATGTAAGAGAAGAGATTGCCTTGAGGTTTTTGATTTAAATTTAAGCTTATTGTCACATGTACAGTGAGAAGTGGACAACGTTGCCTACACACAGGGCCATTCTAGCTTCAAAAGTACTTGGGTACAAATCTTAGATGCAGGTCGTATTGTAGAGAAACAAGTTAAAAGTAAAGCATTAGTATAAGTAGAAAAATTAAGAAATAAAGTTAAAAGTTAACACTACAGTCCTTCCAAGTTTTAAGATTACAAAGGGATCTTGATCAAATGGGCCAATAGGCTGAAAAATGGCAGAGTTCAATTTGGATAAATGCAAGGTATTGCATTTTGGTAAAACAAACAAGGGCGGGCCTTATACAATTAATGGTAGGGCCTTGGGTAGTGTTGTAGAACAGAGAGACCTGAGGATGCAGGTACATAATTCTTTGAAGTTTGTGTCACATATAGACAGGGAGGTTAAAAAGGTGTTTGGCACGTTTGCCTTCATTGCTCAGACCTTTGAGTATAGGAGTTGGGACGTCATGTTGAGGTTGTACAGGACGTTGGTGAGGCCTCTTCTGGAGCACTGTGTCCAGTTCTGGCAACCCAGTTATAGGAAGGATACTATTAAACTGCAGAGGGTTTCAGAAGAGATTTACCATGATGTTGCTGGGAATGGAAGGTTTGCATTATAAAGAAAAGCTGGGACCTTGTTCCACTGGAGTATAGGAGGCTGAGGGGTGATCTTATATTATTTTATAAAATCATGAGGGGTATAGATAAAGGTGAATGGCAAGTGTCTTTTCCCTAGGGTGGGGGATTTCAAGACCAGGGCCATATTTTTAAGGTGAGAGAAAAGAGATTTATAAAAGACATGAGGGGCAACCGTTTTACACAGAGCGTGGTCCATGTGTGGAATGAGCTTGCAGAGGAGGTGATGGATGTGGGTACAGTTACAGCGTTTGAAACACATTTGGATAAGTACATGAATAGGAAAGGTTTGGAGGGCCAGGAGCAGGCAGGTGAGACTAGCTTAGCTTGGGATTGTGGTTGGCACGGACTGATTGGGCCGAAGGGTCTGTTTCCATGCTGTGTGACTCTATGACTCCAAGTGGAAAAAATAAAGTATCGAAGGTAAAAGGTGGGCAGTTTTTCTGAAGTGCACTCCCTGCTTTGCCCACTCTCTGGGAAACCTCAGACCTCCTACTCTCCACACCACAGATGACGGTCAGGGATGGGGGTGGGAAACAATGTTGGGCTCGGGCCCACGGCCGCTTCCCCTCACCAGATATCCAGTTGGCATCAGCTGGACTGGCTCAGCTACAAGGAGAGACTGGGTGGTGAGGGCTCATTTTCCTTAGAGCACAGAAGGCTGAGGCGGGATTGGATTGAGGTGTACAAAGTTCTGGGGGAGGGTGGCACGGTGAATAAGACCGTAAGAAATAGGAACTGGAGGAGGCCATTCAGCCCTCGAGTCTGCTCCCCCATTCACATTCCTCATGTCCACTTTCCCGCCCTTTCCCCAAATGATCAAGAGTCTCTCTATGTCGGCCTTAAATAGACACAAGGATTCTGTCCCCACAACAGCTCTCTGTGGCAAGGAGTTCCAAAGACCCACAACCCTCTGGGAGAAGAAATTCCTTCTCATCTCTGTCTTAAATTGATGCCCCCTTCATTCTGAGACTGTGCCCTCAGGCCCTAGACTCTCCCATGGGGAAAACATCCTCTCAGCATCGACCCCATCAAGGGTCGACTGAGAGACAATTTTCCCATTAGCAGAGGGGTCAGTAAGCAGAGGGTGCAGTTTTAATTTGATTTGACTTAATTTATTGTTGTCACATGCACAGTGAAAAGTATTGTTTTGTGTGCTGTCCAGACAAATGATACCTTATACAAGTACATCAGGGTAATAGAACAGAATGCAGAATATAGTATCACAGCTACACAGAAGGTGCAGAAGAAGATCAACTGTAATATGTGAGAGGTCTGTTCATAAGTCTGATAACAGCGGGGAAGAAGCTGTTCTTAAATCTGTCGGTACGTGTTTTCAAACTTTTATATCTTCTGTCTGACGGAAGAGGGTGAATGAGAGTATAATGAGGGGGTGAGGAGTCTTTGATTATATTCCAGTGTGGATCTGGAGGAACACAGCAGGCCAGGCAGCATCAGAGGAACAGGAAAGCTGATGTTTCGGGTCAGGACCCTTCTTCAG